AGCCGCCGGCGCCTCCTGAGCGGGGCCTGGCCGACGCCCGCCCTCCCCGCAGCTACATCTTCGAGCTGTTCGCCGAAGCTCAGATCACCTTCCAGACCAAGGCCTGCCTCCTGGACTCCCTGGACCAGGTCATCCAGCACCTGGCCGGCCGTGAGTCCCTCGTGCCCCTGCTCGGCCTTTGTGCCGGCCCGCAGCCAGCGGCACCCCGCGGGAGAGTCCTTTCTGCCCCGCCCGTGGCCCCCTGCCAGTGCCTCCGCCAGCCCAGTCGGCTGGGTAGCCAGGTCCCCGTGGAAGCTGCCCTCTCGGTCCTCTTCCGAGCTGGCCTCTGGGCTTCCGGAAGCTGGCGGGGCCTCCTATGGGCTGGTCTGGCCGCTGGGGCGCGGGGGCTCCAGCGGCTGGTGAGCACGCCTGCTCCACAGGCACCGGGCCGCTGGCCAGCACCGCGGGACTGCAGAAGTTGGCGGACATTGTCCAGGTAGGCCTGCACGCCGCCCAGCCTGCATCGGGCCGGCCAGGACAAAGCTGGCCCTGTGGGCGTGGCCCTGGCGCCTCTGCCCGGCTCTGCAGGGTCGGGACACCCATAGGGGCGCAGACCCACCGCGGGCCTCACTCTGGGCTCCGGGCGCCCGCCCTGCATCTGGCCCTGCCTCTGTGTGTCCAGCTGGGCCGTTGCGTGGGCCCCCAGCTGGCTGAGGGCAGCCTGCGTGCCCAGGCGTGTGGCCACATCCGTCCCTGCCCTGCCTCCCTGGCCTCCGGAGAGCCCTCTGTGCTGCGGGCCGGGGAAGCCCAGCCTGCGCCTTGTGGCGCTGCGTGGACGCCGCCCGGCGTTCCTGCCCAGTGGGCGGCGGGGCCCGTGGTGGGAGCCAGGCCGTGCCCTGGGGGCCAGGGCCTGTGCGGACCCAGAGCCGTCCCGCCCTGCCGGGAAGCCCGGCCCCACGACCCTGAGCCCGCTGGGCGGCCTTGGCCTGGGCCAGCGCGGTCAGCGCCTGGGCGGGCGGGTTCCAGCGGCATTCAGCCGCTCATCTGTGGGGCAGCCCTGTGCAGTACGTGCCGCTGACGCCCTCCCTGGGCCTTCAGGTCGTGTTCAGCGCCGAGGACGCCGGGCCGGAGCTCTCCCAGTGCTACAAGGTAGGCCCTGTCCGGCGCGTGCCTCCCCGGGCCGGGCTGTCCTCTGAGTCGGCTCTTCTAGGTGCACGTCCACCCCGACGCCGGGCACCAGCGGACAACCCAGCGCTCTGAGGCCTGGAGCGCCGCAGCGGCCAGAAAGCCAGGTACCGCGCGTCGGGCGCAGCGGCCGGGCTCTACCCGAGGCCCCGCCCGGTCTTGGCTGACTCCCCGTGCCCCCGCCC